GGAACGTTGGAGTCTGCAGCAAGCAAGCCTCCCTGCTCGCTTCAGTGCCTGGCTGCCGGCCGCCATCTTGGCTGACAGTTAATTTGCATATACTCACTGATTAGCCAATGAAAAGGGTAGCAGTCGTACGCCAATATTCATGTTTCTCTTTTATTAGTGTAGATAGATGTCAGTTACTCTGTTTTGATTTGTTGTACTGTGTAATAAAATCAAAACTAATATATGCAGCTGATACTAAGACTCAGAAAATTAAATAATTAGTTTGAAAGTAATTTAAAACTTTTATTTAAATCATGACCAATTTACAAGGGATGTAACTACATTGTTGAAATACTCAAGCTGGTGATACATAACAACTGAATGTAATGAGTGAACCTTAAGTAGATCCTGAATAAACTTAAAACACTCTTGGCTGTTTAACCTCAAAGCAGTCAATAGGATGAAGGAAGTTATATCAAGTTATGTGACTATCTCAACTTTTGTTTGTTCTTCTCTTGTTGACTGTGAGTCTGAATTTCCCAAAGAACAAACTTCTAAGGAGGACTGGATTGCAGAAGAGTGGGGACAACATTCACTCAAAGAGCTTACATATTTTATTGATTCCATACTCAGCAGTGAGGCATTATATCCATTTTGGGAAATCTCTATAATTTTCAACTTGTAAACTTTTTAAGAACTATCTGCATTTTATATGTGTGTGATTTGAGTGGTGTTATTAATGTTTTTGTAAATATTTACTATGTTTTTCAATTTAGTTTAATTCCAACAACTTTGTACTTTAATAAAACATTCTAAACATTGCAAAAAATCTATAAGATATATTTTGGGGACAGCTAGAGAAATTTTGATATAAAATGTGTAGTATATGATATTATTGGATAAGTATTAATATCTTTACTGTGATAATATATTTAGGAAAATTACTTGTTCTTAGAAGATATATGCTAAATAGAGCATTTAAGCGTGAAACCACATCTGCAACTTATTTTCTAAAGATTTTCATATATGTACATTCACAGTACATACATGACATATACTTTCATATGAGAGAAAAATAAATAAATATGACAAAATACAATTCCTGAATCTAGGTATACCACTATTCATTGTACTCATATACCAAATTTTCTGTGGACTTGAAATTTTCAAAATAAGAAATTAAAGGGAAACGCTTATTCTAGTAAATGAACAAGTTGCTTAACTTTATATTAAATATCCATATTCTATCTCTGTATTATTTATTTTGGAAAAGTTTTAATATATCCAAAAACTGTTAGAAAGTATTGATTTTTTTTTAAATATATTTTATTGATTTTTTACAGAGAGGAAGGGAGAGAGATAGATAGTTAGAAACATCGATGGGAGAGAAACATCAATCAGCTGCCTCCTGCACATCTCCCACTGGGGATGTGCCCGCAACCCAGGTACATGCCCTTGACCGGAATCGAACCTGGGACCTTTCAGTCCGCAGGCCGACGCTCTATCCACTGAGCCAAACCAGTTTCGGCTGTAATTGATTTTTAAAGAAAATTATGCTTAATTAAAAAAAATTATAAGAAAGAAGATGATAGTGACTGTGTACTTTGGGAGTGATCATTTTAGGAAACTTTGGATGAATGTGTCTCTCTGCTAAAAATTTCTACTATTAATTTGGAATCTAACATTTACTGAGGAAATGTACCTAAGAGGAGGTTCACAGCCATTATATCACAAGTGGTAGATGGGGAGAGACTGAATTAATTTTGATTAAAAGCAAGGTCAAGTACCCACCTTATAATTGAAGCAGCGAACAAGAAATATCAGATAATCAGACCTCTTTATGAAAACTGAGGCAATCACAATATTTTGAAATTAAAAATGCTGTCTTTTCATTCTAAGTCCTGTGTATATTTCTGCACTTACAGGAGGAGCCGAAGACAAGATGTGAGGCATGGCAACCCACTGACCCAATGCAGAGGATTCAATCTCAAAGGTAGTAACAGGGAGCAATGATCAAACTTGATAAAGAGTAGCAAGGCTCCATACCACATTTCACTTAGGGAAACCTAAAATTCTTGGTATTTAGCTATGGTAATTAAAAATTAAATGCTATTTGTATGTATAACAAGAATTGTGAAAAACAAAAGTCTGGGAATTTTCAGTATTTGTCATTCTGTAATTGGCTTATTTCACTTAGCATAATGTCTTCCTCAGGGTTCATTCAGCGTTGTACCATGTGTCAGAAGTTCTTTACTGTTTAAGGCGGGAAAATATTCCATTATGTGTATATATCAACTTTTTTTACCTATTCATTCATCGCTGGACACTTGGGTTGCTTCCACAAGTTGGTTCCTGTGAATAATCCTGCTCTGAATATTGGTGTACTGCAGTGGCTTGATTTTACAATTGATAACCATTCCTTATACTTTTGACAATCCTGCCTTGTGCCTTACAGTTAATCTACCCCCTTTCCTCCCATTCTGACATGAAGTGATCATGTTATTACACTTTTCCCACTAATCCTCTCTCCCCTCATCAACCCAACCAACAGAAGTATCTCCAGGCAGAACTCGCCCTGGCTCACGAAGGAGCTGCAAATGAGCCTCTGTTAACATTTAACACTGAGACTCCCATTGTAATCTTTCTGAATCCGGAGTTACCTTTTCGCTATTTACTGAGTGTTTCATAAACTTTGTGTCCATTCTCCTTAATGGTCGTAGTAGTCATAGTGGTGGGAGTATTGGAATAGAGGTAATGAACAACATGGATGTTGATTTTGTGTCAGAAACTGAGCTAAATATTTGGGGGGGTTTTATGGATTATCTCACTTAATGCTCAAGAAACTCTGCTCAAGTAGGGTCTGTTTCTATTCCCACATTATAAATGAGTATTCTGTCTGTCTAAGCCACCCCATGATTATACTAAAAGCTTTTCCTAATTTAAGAATTTCAGTAAAGAACCTCTGAAATTATTATACTCTGTGTTTTAGAGCCAAGTAAACTGAGACACAGAGAGATCAAGTAATTTGTCTGAGGTTAGAGAGCCGGTAGCAGTGGAGTCAGGATTTTCTCTCAGGTACCTCTGATTCAAAACCTGTGTTCTCAACCACTCCATCCCACTGTGGCCTCACCTTGCTCTCTACCTTTCATGCTCTTTCTGAATTTTATTGATACTACATTGAATATGGGATGGATCTGGCTTTAATACTGCCTGGCATTTACTAACTCCTTAGCTAGGATACATTTCCTCATAACTTACAGGCTCAGTTTGCTCAGCTGTGAAAAGCTGAGAGAACCTTAATCACAAGGATGTTGTCATAATTAAATGCTCAAGGTGGTATTAAGTGCATTCCTGTTGTTGTTACGCCTCTACTATTTGGTGTAAAGTGATTCTTGAATAAATATTGATTTCCTTATGTCTTTCCTTCCCTTTGGACTAAATAAAACAGGTGAACCATGTACAGTATAATAGTCTGCTTGTTAAGTGATTAAGACTGATTCTGGGGGCTGCCATAATTGATCTAAATTTTATAGAAAACTAGACATTCAAATAGGAGAATAGACTCTAAATTCCATTGTTTCTCTCTCTCTCTCTCCATTTATTTTTGCTTCCCAGCATATAGAAATGCAGCTGAAATTGTTCAGTATGGAGTCAAAAATAACACCACTTTCCTTGAGTGCGCCCCCAAGTCTCCGCAGGCATCTATCAAGTGGTTGTTACAGAAAGACAAAGACAGGAGGAAAGAGGTGAGTGAGAGCACAGCAGCCATCAATCAGGGCTTTGCAAAGAGCATTAAATCACCGTCCCTCACTGAGGTGCAGATCAAAGGAAAGGCGTCTGAACCTCCTTTTATGTCTGTGGGATGACAAGTGCCACCTTCTGTAACCTCCTTTGTCCGTGGGGTTGATGGATTCATTAGAAATCCTCTCTGCCTGCTCACCTCAACAACATGGTGACGGAAACAAGAGCTCGGGCACTCAGACAGGGGTAGTGATGTGAGGAAGCATCTGTAAAAGAAACAAGATGTGGCAAATCCAGAAGCCAAGCTCTCACACAACAGCACCTTTGTGCGATTCACAAGATAAAAGGGGCTTTAAAAGAAAAGTTCAGTTCTCCTCAGCACAAATCACCCCGAAGTATAACCTTTACAGTAAAGAACATTTTTCTGCTGTGTGGTCATCTGTTTCCACTGCTTTATTATTCATAACTCTCGGGGTTTGGTTAGGTAATATATGGAATCATTGTTTAAGGGCTGCTGCCTTTATTTAGTGATTTTGGGGAAAAACTAGATTTTCAAATAAAAGAAAATCTTACATTAACTTGTTGCTGATTGGAAAGAGCTGTTTAAAAGGAAAACATAAAATGGCATAGGGTGAAATATTACAAATAATGAATTTCATAATGTTGATGTCATGTTGTCCTGACAAATGACAGAAAAAAGAGGAAAAATATATATATATGTATACCTAAAGTCTCAGAGTAGTCTAAAATGCAATGCAGTTTTCAGTACATCATAAAATCTGATAGAGAGAATGGGGGAAGGGAGCTTACTACATTTATGTGAGTTCTATGTGGGCAGTTTTGGTCCTACATGTAAGTTAATTAGGGCTGTGTAAAATGGATACATCCCAAGCTATAGAATCTAGATACTGCATCAGAGTTACTAAAATAGATGTTGGCTCCATTTGAGAAAATGCTTTCCAACTCTCAGACCTGCCTATCCAAAAATGCTATGAGCTGTTTAAGAAGTTGTGTGTACCGTGCCATTGGAATGTTAAAACACAGGATGATGACCACTTGCATGAGAAGGGACTTATCTCTCTGGAGAAAGATGTGCTAGGTGGACTTCAGGGCCCCTTCTTGCCCTAGAATTCAAGGATATTAAAAAAAATTTAAAGATATTTTATTAATTTTAAAAAATGTTTATTGGATATCTATTTTCTTAGCTACAAAATCTATCATCAAAGAAGTCTTGGATTTCTACAGTCTAATTGACTTTAAGTTCTTTGGAATTGATATAGATTATAATAATAACTGCCTTGCAAAGTAACCTGGGCTAGAAGTCATAATGTGTGATGATGAAGATCAGATAGGAATGATGTTCTTGGGCTAGAACATGACACAAAGTCTGTCTGTATGTATGTTAATAGGAAACCTAAATTCAAACAGGGATTATCTAATAAGAATAAAATGTTTTCCTTTTATTCAGTAAAAAGTTCCACAAAATAATATACAATATAAGTAAATATAATTTTTATTATTTAAAATCAAAGTAAATGAACATACACAGCATTGAATACATTTATTAATACAGAAATTAATAAATGAATTTTAAAATGGAATATGTTATTAATTAAATCTCTTGTGATAATTCTATTGTTCTATTTCAAAATGTTCAAGAATGTGGAGACTCAAAATGTTAATGTCTTAATTTTTTAATAAAAAACATAAGAATGCTATAATTTAAGATTATAAAAGAATTAACTCTAATATAATTATAAAAATCTATTCTGTGCTGAATTTAATCAGAGCTCAAGTCCACTGATTCTTAATTTAGTTGAATGTACTATTAATATTTTATTAAATTTATCCTAATTCTTCCTTACTAGTTTAGGCAAATATACACTATTTCTCATATCAATCATATATAAATATTGAACTTTTAAAAAAAGTAAGCTAAATGGTAAAAACTAGTGGCGAAAAATATAGTTTTAGAGACTAGTATAAAGTGAAAAATACAAGCCTTCCTCCCTTTCACTTTAATACTTATTCCCATTTCCCAGAGCATAAGGCTACCAAACTGATATATTTAATCATTATATATTCGTCCAAATATTATCTATAATTTTTCTAAACCCCCACTATTTAATATCTCTATATATATAAAAGCCAGCAACTGGAACACCATAACGACCAGTTGCTATGAGGCCCACTGCAGCCAGCAAACTGGCCCAATCAGGGGGTGGGGCCAGCTGGCCAACCTCTTGCAGCCCCTTCCCCCAGCTGGCCCCCCACCCCTGTAGGCCTCCACCACCCCATTAGCCCATGGCTCCACCCCCCAGCTAGCTCCGCCCCCAATCAACCCCCCGACTCCGATCAGGGTCAGGGCCGGCTGGCCAACCACCCATGACCCCTCCCCTAGGCCGCTGGCCCTGATGGGCCCCCCACCCCTTTGGGGGTGGGGCCGGCTGGCCCACCACCCACAGCCCCTCCTCACGGCCAGCCCATCACCTATGGCTCCTCCCCCCTGCCGACCCGTCCCTGATCGGGTCCCAATCAGGGCAGGTCAGCCAGCCAACCTCCTGCTGTCTCCTCCTCCCAACAGGCCCTACCCCAATCCACCCCAACCATGCATGAATTCATGCACTGGGCCTCTAGTCAGTATATATGAAGCCACTTCATTTTTCTTGGTTGCATAGTTTTCCATTGTATAAACGTACCTTAACTATTTTAAAGCTATCATTTGGTTAGGTTTTTTTTCTTATGTTTCCTCTTAACAAACACATTATGCAAATAAAAATATGCATACTTGTAAGAGTATATCTCCTAACAAATCCTTGGAAATGAAATTTCTGCACCAAGTATGCATGTTATATAGGTACATGTTATATAGATATTATCAAATTGACCTCCAAAAATTTCCCCAATTTTGCACAAAAAGGAAAGGCTTTCTTTTCTTTCATTTCTGAATGTATTTACGCATTATCTAAACTATTTCTGATGCACATTTAAACTTCAAAATTGAACATCAAATTTTTGCTTTTATACATTCTAGTCTTTACTTCCTCCTGCTCTCTCTTATCTAGTTCTGTTCCATTTGTCTATGTTTCAATACTATACTATTTTGTGTGGGCAACTTCTTATCTAAAAGAACCTTTCTTTGATTTGGATTCTGTTAAAATATGTATTTATATAGAAATGTACCATTTAGAAAAACATTTCACATGCATTCCTTTATGTTATTTTGTGTCAGATTTCTTTTTGCCTCAGTGAGAGGGTATTCCAGAGTATATAGGGCAAGGAAAGTCTTATCACTTAGGTTTAATCTGCTCATTGGGAATACCGTAGCTGGAACTGTAGGGAAAGTGGGCTTCCAGCATTTAGCTGATGTCTAGCAAATGACAGTCTGTTTTTTGTGTTGTTGCTTTTTCAGTATAAGCCTATAAAATAATTATATATTATTAACCTCATAGCTTTTTATTACTTTTCTTTGGAAAGTAAAACCACTTACAAATCTTATGAGACAATGGCATTACAGCTTATTTTTAGTGATTCTTTAGTGTGAGATAATTGGCAAAAGCCTTTGATAATGTTCAAAACTGCCTCTGCTTATATAATTTTTAGTTAGGAGAATATTTATTCACTCATTCAAAAGGGTACAATTCATCCCTTTAATTGTTGCTTCATGTTTTTACTAAGTTTTTTTTCTACAATAAAAGGTGAGAACTCCAGGATGAAAGAGATATTTTAAATTATGTGTGAATTTCATTTGCTGTATATGTTGACTGTGAGTCATATTCCAAAAGCAACCAAAATTCTGGGCTTATCTGTGGAGAAACTACTATCCAAAAGGAATTTACTTTAAGCTGTTTTGGGCAATATGAGTGATAACTTCACTCTCTCTTTTAAAATCTGTGTCCACTAAGAAGGAAATTAGTTAGTCTTCCATACTTTTGCCAAATTTGTTAAAATCAACAGTATTCTGTATATGTTGCCCATATATTTTTAGAAGATACAGAGTTGGGTTTTCAGAACTTTGATGTCTCTTTTGTAGGTCAAGCTGAATGAACGCATCATAGCCACTTCACAAGGACTCCTCATCCGCTCCATTCAGGATTCTGACCAAGGACTGTATCACTGCATTGCCACAGAGAACAGCTTCAAGCAGACCATCGCCAAGATCAACTTTAAAGTTCTAAATTCTGATATGGTAGCTGTTGTGACAGACAAATGGTCCCCATGGACCTGGGCTAGCTCCGTGAGGGCTCTATCTTTCCACCCGAAGGACCTCATGGGGGCATTCAGCCACTCAGAGATGCAGATGATTAACCAGTACTGCAAAGACACTCGGCAGCAACATCAACACGCAGAAGAATCCCAAAAGATGAGAGGGGATTATGGCAAGTTAAAGGCTCTCATCAACAGCCGGAAAAGTAGAAACAGGAGGAATCAGTTGCCAGAGTCATAATGTTTTCTTACATGTGGCGTTTGCTCCCCATAGTCTTCAGTGGTCTGTCTGTCTTCAGTAATCAAATGTTGAACAAAGAATCTTGTTCTTACCCACGGGAAATTCCGGAGAAAGGTGATTACACACTCCTAAAGTGAATGTTACATGAACTGAAACACGCATGCATTTTCTTGTATGATAGTGACTAGCGCTAGACATGTCATGATCCTCATGGTGCATATAAATATTTAAATTAACCTAGATTTTATTTATATCTTTATTTACCTTTTCTTCAAATTAAGATGGTGGTTATAAAACTAGAATTCTTACATCCCTGCATTGAACGAGGGCCATAACCCTGTGGTCTTCCTTCCTTGGTTTAAGGATCTCTAAGGTCACTGATTTTGCGTATGAAAACAAATACCAAAGTCACAACTTTTATATGGTCAGAGTCATATAAATGCATGTGACAGAGTAGTTGTCAAAGACAAGGAAGAGGGCATCTGAAAGTTATATAAAATAAAAGTACTTCATGAAGAGATAATGAGTTTATATGCTCCCAGTGAACTATGTTGCTGGTTACTTTTAGCTTTGTAAAAATTGTCAGTTGCTAAGATCTGTCACTGACTTGTTGCCTTGTTTCCGGTAGATAAAATAAAATGACCCTCATGACAAACAGCTTTGATTGGAGTTATGTCAGTGAAGCGTTTATGTTTATATTCTTATGCTATCATATTCCAAACAAAAGCACTTTTTTTTGGAAATCCTTTAAGTTATTCTAGACTCAGAGACTATAACCTAATCCTGTTTAATAGATTGAGTTTGTTCTAATTTTTTAGTCTGTGTGACAAATTAGACAATATAAGAATAAAACTATTTTGAAATATCAAATTTGTATATGAGGGTTAAAACCATCAAAATGGAATAATGAGAAAAAACAAAGTAGAAAATGCAATTTTATTAGCAAAATTTTATTAAAATATTACTACTTTTTAACTTTAATAATTCCATTATTATCTCATATTTTGTTTGTTTACCAACCTCAGATATAAAATTTATTTTTAAGTCATCAGTTAATTTTTAATGATCTTTTGTGAAGAGGTGTTCATTTTGTGGACAAATAAAAAAAATCTAGTCTGAACAAAAATAGATATAACTTCTTTTAAAAGAATGTTCGTTCATTATGTTCACTGGTACATAAATACAAATGTGAGTTTTGTGATGAATAAAATAATTATCTTCTAGTTGTATGCTTGAATCATTTTATTAGATAATTTAATGTGAATTTTTATTCCAAATAACAATTAGATGACAATTTCTTCATACTTTCATATTTCTTTTAAAGTCACAAATTTGTTCTTTCATTTTATTTGCCTTTAAAGATAATTTCCAGGTACAAACAGAAATTGCATGATATACCTAATCAAAAAAGTTTTACTTGTAGTTAACCATCTATGAAGAATGAATCAAGGTAAATATGTCACCTTTTTAAGCACTACACTATAAAGTTTCAAGAACTGAAAATCATTGTGAAAGTGAATGTAGTCACTGATCTTAATCTAAGAATATGATTAATTATCTAAGTGGTGGTAAATTATGTTATAAGAAGAGGCCTCAATAGGGCAAAAATAGCTGTTGAACACAACAATGTTTATTTTTTAAATAAAAAGGTATTAATTAAAAACTATTGTTGCAAATATGTATAATTCTAAAGTAGTCCCTATCTTTTAGTTGTATTTTTGAAGTGGTTGTTTGCGGCAGCAGTCTGCGGTGTTTACCTATGCCGCCATCTTTGTCTCCTCTTCACTTTGATGTCTCTTTTGTAGGTCAAGCTGAATGAACGCATCATAGCCACTTCACAAGGACTCCTCATCCGCTCCATTCAGGATTCTGACCAAGGACTGTATCACTGCATTGCCACAGAGAACAGCTTCAAGCAGACCATCGCCAAGATCAACTTTAAAGTTCTAAATTCTGATATGGTAGCTGTTGTGACAGACAAATGGTCCCCATGGACCTGGGCTAGCTCCGTGAGGGCTCTATCTTTCCACCCGAAGGACCTCATGGGGGCATTCAGCCACTCAGAGATGCAGATGATTAACCAGTACTGCAAAGACACTCGGCAGCAACATCAACACGCAGAAGAATCCCAAAAGATGAGAGGGGATTATGGCAAGTTAAAGGCTCTCATCAACAGCCGGAAAAGTAGAAACAGGAGGAATCAGTTGCCAGAGTCATAATGTTTTCTTACATGGGGCGTATGCTCCCCATAGTCTTCAGTGGTCTGTCTGTCTTCAGTAATCAAATGTTGAACAAAGAATCTTGTTCTTACCCACGGGAAATTCCGGAGAAAGGTGATTACACACTCCTAAAGTGAATGTTACATGAACTGAAACACGCATGCATTTTCTTGTATGATAGTGACTAGCGCTAGACATGTCATGATCCTCATGGTGCATATAAATATTTAAATTAACCTAGATTTTATTTATATCTTTATTTACCTTTTCTTCAAATTAAGATGGTGGTTATAAAACTAGAATTCTTACATCCCTGCATTGAACGAGGGCCATAACCCTGTGGTCTTCCTTTCTTGGTTTAAGGATCTCTAAGGTCACTGATTTTGCGTATGAAAACAAATACCAAAGTCACAACTTTTATATGGTCAGAGTCATATAAATGCATGTGACAGAGTAGTTGTTAAAGACTAGAGAAAAGACAAGGAAGAGGGCATCTGAAAGTTATATAAAATAAAAGTACTTCATGAAGAGATAATGAGTTTATATGCTCCCAGTGAACTATGTTGCTGGTTACTTTTAGCTTTGTAAAAATTGTCAGTTGCTAAGATCTGTCACTGACTTGTTGCCTTGTTTCCGGTAGATAAAATAAAATGACCCTCATGACAAACAGCTTTGATTGGAGTTATGTCAGTGAAGCGTTTATGTTTATATTCTTATGCTATCATATTCCAAACAAAAGCACTTTTTTTTGGAAATCCTTTAAGTTATTCTAGACTCAGAGACTATAACCTAATCCTGTTTAATAGATTGAGTTTGTTCTAATTTTTTAGTCTGTGTGACAAATTAGACAATATAAGAATAAAACTATTTTGAAATATCAAATTTGTATATGAGGGTTAAAACCATCAAAATGGAATAATGAGAAAAAACAAAGTAGAAAATGCAATTTTATTAGCAAAATTTTATTAAAATATTACTACTTTTTAACTTTAATAATTCCATTATTATCTCATATTTTGTTTACCAACCTCAGATATAAAATTTATTTTTAAGTCATCAGTTAATTTTTAATGATCTTTTGTGAAGAGGTGTTCATTTTGTGGACAAATAAAAAAAATCTAGTCTGAACAAAAATAGATATAACTTCTTTTAAAAGAATGTTCGTTCATTATGTTCACTGGTACATAAATACAAATGTGAGTTTTGTGATGAATAAAATAATTATCTTCTAGTTGTATGCTTGAATCATTTTATTAGATAATTTAATGTGAATTTTTATTCCAAATAACAATTAGATGACAATTTCTTCATACTTTCATATTTCTTTTAAAGTCACAAATTTGTTCTTTCATTTTATTTGCCTTTAAAGATAATTTCCAGGTACAAACAGAAATTGCATGATATACCTAATCAAAAAAGTTTTACTTGTAGTTAACCATCTATGAAGAATGAATCAAGGTAAATATGTCACCTTTTTAAGCACTACACTATAAAGTTTCAAGAACTGAAAATCATTGTGAAAGTGAATGTAGTCACTGATCTTAATCTAAGAATATGATTAATTATCTAAGTGGTGGTAAATTATGTTATAAGAAGAGGCCGGCCTCAATAAAAAATAGCTGTTGAACACAACATAACAATGTTTATTTTTTAAATAAAAAGGTATTAATTAAAAACTATTGTTGCAAATATGTATAATTCTAAAGTAGTCCCTAAAGCAAATTATACAAATCATTTGCCTGCTTAAAGGAGATAAATAAACCTCTTTATTTCTCCTCAACGTGCACAAATAGAAAAGTGTGTAAGGCCAAAACCATCTTCTGTGTTTATGGTCAAGCTATTCTATGTACAGAGTTGAAAGTACAATCGTTTCAGAGTCAAAAGACAGGGGAAACCACACAGGACCTCTTGCTTCATATAAATAATAAGGGTGTTTAATTTTGTAATGTTATTTGTGCTATTTAATACATTTTACTTTAACATTATTAAATTGTATATACTTTTATTACTTTTAAAATTATAGAAATCCTTGTTGAACAGAACTGCCAAATGTAAAGAAAATTTTCTTTTTAAAAAATATTGTTAATGTATACTGAATGTTGGTGGTAGATTGGTTTTATTTTGTGTAGATTGACAACTTGAAGACAATATGTTTTCCATTTGTATTATATATAACATTTCCTAGAAAAGCACTTTTTACAAAGTGTAGGTTTGTGAATAGATTTTAGCATGATGAAACTGTCATTGCAGTGAATGTTCACTCTGTGTAAGAAAATAAGATCAATGTAGTTAGTAAATTAATATTTAATTGGATGTTGAATAAAGCATTTGCCTGGCAAAATTTAGATTTTGAGATTTCTTCTATTTCTGAGCGTGCAATCTGTAGCAAGGAAAGTGGAGACAAAGGTCATGACAGAAATTAAAAGTGATCCCAACAAATCTTTCAGTCTGAGGATTCTGTACTACTCCCCAGTTGCCTCTGTATCTCCCTTGCTTATATTTCAACTTAACCTTAATTTTAAATAATTTTAATATATCATGTATAATTATAATGCATTTCTAGAGCTTTATATTTCTTACCTATGTGAAGAACAATTTTGAGAAAAAGATGACAGTTTCCTATATCTATTCTTCTAGCTGCTATATAATTATAATGCATTTCTAGAGCTTTATATTTCCTACCTATGTGAAGAACAATTTTGAGAAAAAAGATGACAGTTTCCTATATCTATTCTTCTAGCTGAAGTCGAGAAACTGCGCATCTTTGTTTAAGTCTAGACAAGGAAATAAGCAGACTAAATAAAACTGTTTTGCTTAACAAGAGGCATTGAGAACTTTATGGAATTTTATACATGATGACAAAGCTGTGGAAGACGGCTGTGGAAAAAAAAATTTATTCTTTTCCTTAATTTATAACACCAACCTTCTATTCAATAACCTCATTCCACAAGAATACAATCCCTTCTGCAAAATCAAAACCAATTACAACAAATTCCATATATGTGTTATTTGGTGAACTTAATTGCCAATGAATTGTTTTTCCTAAGGGGCCTCTGGTATAGATTTCAATTTTCATGGTTTCATCACAAGGTTACGTTCATATAGCACAAATAGTGAGAATTGGAAGGACTAGCTCCAAGATTTAAAAAAAAATGCCATCTTCACTCTACTGACTAATGTATTTGTCTATTCACCTCATAAAACAATGCTTTCCACTCAGTTTGAATTGTGTACTTCTCAGGGCTATTATGT